CTCCAGAAGGAAGAATATTCCTGATGATTTTACTCCAGTGAGAATGGTGACGGATTTGTGATACACAGAACTATAAGATAATATAAGATAATACTCTTGTATTTTAAGAACCACCATTCAAGTCAATAATTAATTAAAGTCAAAGCTCATGCTGGCCTCACACCTGTAGCCATCTTCCTTCCCCAGTCTCTCGGGTACTGGAATTATAGGCAGTCACCACACTCAGCTGTGTGAGTGGTTATTATAGAAGCCAAAGAAAAGTAACCTAGGCAACACACACACACACAGCCTATATCCCCCAGAAGACCAACCCAACATACTTTCCTCTCATCCTGTTGTCATTTTACCCTTTCTAAGATCCCAGGGTTAATTCTCCTCAAGCTCACTAGAGCTGGCATGTTAAGAAGGAAGCTGAGAGCTTGCCCGGAGATATGCTCTGAATGTCACAACCTAGGCAGGCTGGGCTCTTTCCAGAAAAGTTGGCCTGCAGCCCAAGCCACCTTCTGCGGAGGCTGGATTGCACAAAAGCCACCTGTGCCTGTCAGGTTAGAAGGTAGGGAAACACCAGAGTCCCTGTTTGTAGGGGAGTCAGGTTTAACACCTAGACTACTGTGAAAAACAAACAAACAAACAAACAACAAACAACAGGCAATTAACTGAAAAACAGGCAGAGTGAACCATGGTGTTTACATAGACTCTGTGTGAATGGAACCTTTATACACACAAGGGGCTTTTATAGTCACACACACGGAGTTTGTTATCTGGCAACTATCCTACTCTTTAGGCTTCATTTAGTTGTCAGTCAAGTGAACTTCCTTTGCTTTCTGAGCATGATGGCACTATTCTGACTTGGGAACACAAGAAGGGCTCACATCAAGTCAGATGAACATGAAGAAAGGTCTGTGACCTCAGGAGGGCTTTCTTTGAAAGCTTCTGCAGAGACCTCTCCATGGTGACGCTGGACTCCATCTGACCTTCTGCTATCCAGGCAACTCTGGGGTTATAGACTAGGCTGCCAGCATTGCTAACAGTGCTGTGAGGCAGACTCAAACAGTATCTTGCAAAGTGAAGTATAAAAGGTTTATAGACCTTTCCATCGTTATCATTATTCCTGAGGAGTAAAGAAATTCCAGGGGACAGTAGTGGTGCACACCTTTAATCCTAGCACTTTGGAGGCAGAAGCAGGCGAATCTCAGTGACTTCGAGGCCATCTTGGTGTACAAAGTGAGTTCCAGGACAGCCAAGGCTGTTACACAGAGAAAACCCTGTCTCCAAAAAAAAAAAAATCAAGAAAAAAAAAAGGACAAGAAAAAAAGAAATACCAGGGGATATGGATGACAATGCCTTGGATTTAATTATTTAAAGTGCAATTTAACTGTGGGAGTTGGTTGGTTGTTAAAAGAAATATCTCTTGTCGAAGAACACTGTCATAGTTCATTCACTAGCAGTGGGTCTTTGCTCCTCTTTTCTGTGGCGATTTTAAAAGCAAGTGTCAAGTTTGAAATGAGATTTGCTAAGTTGGGGCTCTGCTTCCTGAAGTCTGTGCTCAAATAAATACACGTGTAGTCTTTCCTGTGTGTGAAGAAATGAGTCACGCCTTCAACAGAATAGGACGAAAACCTATAACTATTTCAAGTTTTATCTTGAAATTTGGCCTGGAACTATGTCAATGAGCTTGGTATTGAACTCAACACAGATCCATTTGCCTCTGTCTACCAAGTGCTGAGATTAAAGGCACAGGCCACCATGCCTGGTTTTCAAATTTTATCTTTTTTTGTTTTTTTGGGGGGACAGGGTCTTTCTGTAACTTTGGAGGCTGTCCTGGTACTCGCTTAGTAGACCAGGCTGGCTTCAGACTCAGAGATCCTCGTGCCTCTGCCTCTCGAGTGCTGAGATTAAAGGTGTGCACTGACACCGCCTGGCTCAAGTTTTATCTTTTAAGATATGAAAATAAACGATAATAACAAGGGAATTTCTCAGATCAATGAAATTGCCATCAGCTTCCTGACTTGGGATACCTTGGTATATTGCTGATGGAACAGTATGCCAAATAATAGCGATATATGTATGTGCACAACGGCTGATCAAAGTTGTCTGTTCACTAGGACAAATAGCACCAGTGTCTGAGTTTGGGGAGTCAGGTGATGGTGGCAGGCCAAACATCCACAGCCTGAAATTGCCCTTATGGTAGGAAGTGGAAATGCCCTTACTGAATACTGTAAAACATGATATAGGTAGACTTTCCTCATGACCCACCTGACCTACTAACTCCAGAGATGATCACCATAAGCTACTTGATTTAGTAATTATTTTCTACACACACATACACACCACACAAGCTTCACAAAAATCATAGCATACTGTCCTACTGATTGTTTTCATTTTTAAATACTAAAGGCAGACATTTTTACATAGATTGTGCGGATCTGGTTCATATATTTGAATCTGTAGGCATTTTATTTCAAGGTTTGCATTCTAATTTAGGTTAGTGATCATTTAGTCAAATACTTTTAGGTACGTTCCTGTCTGGTTTTTGCCTTCTCGGGTCACCAACCATCATCTCTTTCCTCTGTGTTTATTTGTGTAGCTCTTTAGAATTAACTTCCTAGAATTGGAACTTCTGGGTAAAGTGGCTTGTACTTCTAAACATAGTAGCAGGTTTCTTCTGGGAATGATGTGGAGGTCTCTACACCTGCTTCCAGTAGTGAGAATCACTTATCCTTTAGAAAACTACTAGGAAAGATTCAAAAACCACCTTTTAATTTTGCATTTTTAACTAACTATAGTGAATGTCTTGGGATTTCCCTTTAGATGATTATTTCTGTAACATAATACAATATTTGAAATGAACCCTTCCTTCTGTTAACTGAGAAGTGAAAACTATCCCAGCCACACAGGATTTCTTATTTTAAAATGGCATTCACACCCACCTCTTCCCATGTTGCACACTCCATCAGAATTATGCTCAGCATGTGCTTCATTACGAAACATCACACACAGGAAAGAACTAGTTAATAAATTCTCTCTGCCCTACATTCATGGACACAGACTGCTTGCCGGTGGAGCACACACAATGGCTTTCAGTTCTGCACACTTCCAGTGAGACCCTGCTGTGCCTGCAAGGAAGAAGCTAGCACAGTTCTCAAGTGCTTCCTCTCTGCAGCTGACATCACAGCAAGGCCCTGAAACCAGCCATCAATGAGAGACCCAAGCACCAACTACCACGTTGGAAGATATTGCTAATTTCTAATTTGTGGGCACACCACTCATAGTATTTACATTTTATCCCCTGATTATAGATGGTTTTATATTAAATATTGGTAGGCTGAAAGATCTACCTTTAAGGGAGCATTTACTATGTATCCAACATATATAATTATCCACACTTAAAAGGCCATCACGCAGCTGGGTGTTGGTGGCGCACGCCTTTAGTCCCAGCACGAGGGAGGCAGAGGCAGAGGCAGGAAAATTTCTGTGAGTTTGAGACCAGCCTGGTCTACAAGAGTTAGTTCCAGAACAGCCTCCAAAACCACAGAGAAACCCTGTCTTGAAAAACCAAAAAAAAAAAAAAAAAAAAAAAAGGCCATCACGCTGAAGTACAGCAGTCATATCTACAGACTTTTACGGAACTTCAGATGCAGAAGTGTGAGTATCACTTTATTATCCCAGTGTTTGCCTAGTTGCCATAAAATTGTGCAATGTTCCAATGAAACTTATAGCTCTGTTATATAAATCAGACTTTGTATATTCAGATTTTATATGTATGAATAATATGGCATAAAGGGTTTCTTTATTTTTAATAGGATATAAGAGGCATAAAGTACTGAGATTATTCTTTAAACTTGTGTAAAAGTATGACCAACTATTACAGGGCTTGTCTGATTTGAAGGGAGGGCACAGGACTGAATGACCTTAGTCATCATTTGGTAGCTTTAGGAGACAAAGTCTATCAACTGAAACTCCCAGTATAAAAAGTAAGTCCAAGCCAGGCATGGCTTTGCAAGCTTATTATTCCAGCACTCAGAGGCACTCTAGGTTGGGCTACATAGAGAGATCATGTCTTCGAGATGTGTGTGTGCGTGCGTGCGTGCGTGCGTGCGTGCGTGCGTGTGTGTGTGTGTGTGTGTGTGTGTAGTATATCTTCTCACAAATGTCCATGGGCCTGGATGAAAACACCCTGGGATTTTTGGGCTTGGAGAATCCAAACCTTTAAGAGTTGGGCATGTGTGTGTCCTGTGCTGTGGGCCAGAGTTTTCACCAGGTTTTCTGAAGACTAATATGGGGACGAGTGAGTGAGTGGATAGTGCAGTGGCAGCGTTGTCCTGAGGACAGCAGGGATAAGCTCAAGGAGCTCAAGAGCAGCCTGGAAGGATGGCCCAGTGAGAACAGTTGTCCTGAGGACAGCAGGGATAAGCTCAAGGAGCTCAAGAGCAGCCTGGAAGGATGGCCCAGTGAGAACAGAAAAGTTAGGAAACAGAAGATGGGAAGAGGAAGGGGAAGACACACAAGCCAACAAGAAATGGTGCATTCACAAACATCCTTTACCAGTAGGACCAAGAATAGAGGGGTGATATGGAGAGGGGGCTGCTGGCTGTCTGTGTCCTAGAGGTCATAGCCATGACATCCATGTAAAGAAGGGACATTTCTGAGGGCGGAGGTGGGAGCTGTGTAAACCATCCCGAAACTTCAGTTATTATTTAAGGAACGAATGATGGTCTAAGTGAATTTTCTTTCTAACAAAAGATAGATGACTCCCAAAGTGCCAAGGTGACATTCTTAAGCAAGGTCTCTTATTTTTTTATTTGTTTGGTTTTTGTTGAGGCAAGTTCTCTCTACATAGTCCTGGCTGCCCTGGAGCTCACTATGTAGCCCATTCCTCTATTTTAACGATGTTATGTTTAATATGAAGAGAGAAAAAAATACAAAGGGTTTTACAACTCAGAAAAATTTACATAAGATATAGACTTCATTTTCAAGGATTTAAGCCAGATGTTTAAAAATAAATTTAATTAAATTTATTCCTTATATAATATTTACTAATATACCAACCAAATTGACAGTTGCTTTTGAAAGGTAATAGGTTATAAGATCTAGGCCATATAAAGTAACAGACTGCAAAGAGTTTAATTTAACAATAAGAAAAATACTTTCCAAAGATCAAGAACCTTTCTAACAATGTATCGAGCTCTCTGTAAACCCAGAAGCTTGGTTCCCATGTTCCTATGTTCCCAGTTGTCCACTTTTCCTCAGAGAATAAGGCACACAATCGCTAGCATTACAAATCACAAGTTTAACACAAATCTGAAGAAAACAGGAATCATATATGCCACAAAGACAGAGAGAAGCCTCTGGGATAGGATATTAACACCATGGTAACATCAAACTGCAAATGTAGTATTTACAGCAATGCACTTCCTTCTCTAACAAAGGTTAATCATTTCAACATTCAAACCTGAAAGACCAGAAGAAAAAGCAAGATTTCAAAAAACTACTTTATCTTGACAATCTTTTAGTTCTCACTACAGAGAGGATTTTAAAAAATCATTTCACACAATCTTTTAGACTAGTTTGTAACAGTCTTATGACTGTTACAATGTCAGAGGCCATCAGGAATCTGCATCTGAAACAACAGCATTGTTCAGTACTGTTTCTAGATAACTTTAGTGATGACCTAGATATCATTTTGTCAATGCTCTTTGTTAATAAATATTTTTTAAACTTTCAGTTATGTTTTTCCAATTAGTGAAAATGCTACTCAGAGATTCCTGGGCAAAGACACTAGCCCCTTCCCCAATAAATTTTAGTGAATGTAATTTAAGTAATATGTGGTAATAATTACTTCCTAAATTAATTTCTGAAATCGTAACTTAGACCTAATTCTGCCATCTTAGGTAGAGTTTTGCCAATAATTATTGTCCATAAAACATTTAAAATTATTGCCATAACATACATGAAATGACTGTTAGCCTTCAACACACATCTTATCATCATCTTAGTTATTTTGTCCACATCACTGTTTCGGTATCTCAGGAAAATGTGAATCCAAATATAATGTGAGTTTTCTATAAATCAGTGACTCTAAATTTTGAGGTTTTTAATCAGGAAATGACTGGTTTTAAAGAGACTTCCAGACAATTCAATAGATGTTAGTGTGACAAAACCAGTAAAGTCAGGTAAAGCAACAGCAACGTAAAAAAGCATGAAATATGGGCAAACCCAACACTGCACTAGATGGACATGTGAGAGGGAAGAGTTCGCACTGAGCATGCCTCCGAGCCAGAGGGCCCGAGAATTATAGAAACTAAATAAAACACCTAACGGCGCTTTAAAAATTTCACTCCAGGCTGGGCGGTGGTGGTGTAGGCCTTTAATCCCAGCAGAAGCAGGTGGGTCTCTGAGTTTGAGGCCAGCCTGGTCTACAGAGGGAGTTCTAGGACAGCCAGAGCTGCACAGAGAAGCCATGTCTCAACAAAACCAATTTCACTTGAACATCGCTCTCTTTCGTTACTGTCACGTGAGCTACTTCCTTTCCTTAGGGCCGCGTGTTCATCTGTCTCAGACATCAATGCGCATCCCGTGTTTTGAAGACATCATCTGTCTGGTCCCTGTTAAATGCATGAGGAATGAACACATATGTGGTAAGGATAATGTGGTTATCACATAAAGCCAGAAGGGCAAAGGAGAGGTTTTTCCAAATGGGCATATCCACAGGCCATGACGAATTCCGTCTCGGATATGGTGCGAAGCCCAGGAAATGAATAACATCCACGGGAGGAAGCACCACGCGTCTCTGAGCCTAAGCAGGTGCATGGCGAGCTTCACACTCATAACTGCGACGGGGATCACGGTGGAGCAGTGGAGGAAAGGTCTTCTCGGAAGGGTCAAAGCGGCCTGGGGGAGAAGGAACAGCTGGCATCATTTCCTTCTTTGCAAAAATCTCACTGCTGCTTCTTAATATTTTAACATGTCTAGCGTCAACTGGAAATGCAAGAAAAACTAACATTGCAGATGCACTGGACACACGGTTTCCAGGTTAATGCTTCTCTTCTCTCTCTCTAAGGTATTCTATAGTAAAATTAGCTTTCAACTAAAAAAAATAGATGACAAAAGCACAACCACCATATCCTTTGCATCAGAGGTAAAACAGAGGACTTAGGAATATATAGAATTGGGGCTGCAGATGTGGCTATTTATTATGTATATTTACTTGCTGAGCCATCTTATCAGCCATATTTTACTTTATTTACTTATTTTTTAATTATAAAACTGTTGTTTGGTGACTAGGGCTTCTTTTTTTCCTTTTTTAAAAATTTAGAAATACACTTGTGGGGCTGGAGAGATGTCTCAGAGGTTAAGAACACTGACTGCTCTTCCAGAGGTTCTGAGTTCAATTCCCAGAAATCACATGGTGTCTCACAACCATTTATGAGATTTAGTGACACAAAATAAATCTTAAAAAAAAAAAACAAACAACAGGAACACACTTGTTTTACATGTCAATGCCAGTTCCCTCCCCCTTCCCTCCTCCCCTGCCCCTCACCAACCCCCTATCCCATGCCCTTTCTGCTTCCCAGGGAAGGTGAGGCCTTCTATGGGGGATCTTCAAATACTGTCACATCATTTGGAGCAGGGCCTAGACCCTCCACTGTGTGTCTAGGCTGAGAGAGTATTCCTCTGTGTGGAATGGGCTCCCAAATTCCAATCATACACTAGGGATAAATACTGATCCACTGCCAGAGGCCCCATAGATTGCTGAGGCCTACTAACTGACATCCTCATTCAGGGGGTCTGTTTCTGTGGGTTTCTCCAGCCTGGTCTTGCTCATCACTCCTCCCTCTCTGCAACTGGATCCCAGGAGTTCGGCTCACTGTTTAGCTGTGGGTGTCTGCTTCTACTTCCATCAGCTGCTGGATGAAGGATCTGGGATGGCATTTAAGGTAGTCATCAATCTTATTATCGGGGAAGGGCATTTAAGGTAGCCTCTCCACTATTGCGTAGATTCTTAGTTGGGGGTCATCCTTGTAGATCTCTGAACATTTCCCTAGAGCCAAATTTCTCTTTAAGCCTATAATGGCTCCCTCTATTATGGTATCTCTTTTCTTGCTCTCCTCTAGTCTTCTCCCGACTCAATCTTTCTACTCCCTCATGTCTTCTTCTTCCCTCCTCTTCTCCCCTTGTCTTTCTCCTAACTTCTTTTCCCCTCCCCCGCATGCTCCCAATTTGCTCAGGAGATCTTGTCCTTTTCCCCTTCTCCGGGGGACCATGTATGTCTCTCTTAGGGTTCTCCTTGTTTCCTAGCTTCTCTGGCAGTGTGGACTGTAGGCTGATAATCCTATGCTCTATGTCTAAAATCCATATATGAGTGAGTACATACCATGCTTGTCTTTTTATGATTGGGTTACCTCACTCAGGATGGTTTCTCCTAGTTCCATCCATTTTCAACCATATTTTAAAGTTGTTTTCTTCCTGAGATTTTTAAAAATTTCATTTATGTGTTTCTAGCTGTGTAGGTATGTGTATAAGCATGTAGTTGACCTTGAGGCTAGAAAAGGGCATTGGATCCCCTGGAGTTGGAGTTACAGGCAGTTGTGAGCTGCCACATGGGGGCTGAAAACTGAACCAGGTCCTTGGGAAGAGCAACCAGTGCTCTTGACTACTGAGCCATCTCTCCAGCCCTATTTTAAAGTTTCTAACTGACAAATATTTGCACATGTTTAAGAAATACAATGGGGTGGGTGGTGCACACCTTTAATCCCCAGCACTTGGGAAGCAGAGGTAGGTAGATCTCTGTGAGTTTGAGGCCAACCTGGTCAAGTTCCAGGACAATTAGAGCTGTTACACAGATAAACCCTGTCTTGAAAAAACAAAAAACAAACAAAAAAGTACAATGTGACATTTCCTACATGTATATGTGACAGAGTATCTATGACTTCAATGGTTATCATTTTTTTGTGTTGGGAATACAATTCCTCTTCACCAGCTATTCTGAAACATATTAGTTGTCAGCTACAGTGCTATAGTCATTAGTAGTTTTTCCTCCTGTCTGACTTCATCCCTGTAACTCACCCTTGCTCCATCCCTTCCTATTCTATAATTTGTGTTTTAAATAACTTCTTGAGATATCTAAGAGTATACACACACACACACACACACACACACACACACACACCAAATAAAATATTCCTTCATTAATGCAGGGAAAAGGAAGAATATTTTTATTATAACTGTTTCATAGTAGCCATGAATACTTCTGGAACTTTTTACCAACACTGAAAGATTATTTTAAGTTATTATTTTATTATTCTCCATGCTAAAGCTGAGGGAACAGAATTTTAACCTTGTGTTGCCTTCACTTACAGAAAAAAAAAAAGCTAAGATTTGTCTCAAACTAACAATTACTCCTCCTTCCCAAATGAGTTTCAGAGTCAGACAACCCTGACACGTCCTTGAGTGTGACAAGCAGGAAGAATGCTTTACCACACTCGGCAAATCCTTACTGAACACCTGGTATGTGGGCCAGGTGCCTTCCCAGGCCAGTGGCTAACAAGGCAAAAGCCTTGCTTTGAATCTATACCTCTTTTCTGAAATGTCTGTAAATCATATGCATACAAAAAGGCAGGAAAATCTTTTGATATTTAGAAAATATAGTATCTAGAGAATATTAATTGAGACATCATTGTAAGTTTAGCTTAAATTTGCAAGGCTGGTCATCACAAAACTAAACACTTGAATGCCTCAATGCAATTTTTTGTTTCTCCGCCACAGACAAGTGCGGTCAGTCTGTTGAAATTCGAATTGATGGCCACTGAAGTCATTCCCCAGGAATGAGAACAATTGTAAGCCTCGTCAATTAATGGCGCACACGGGCGGGGCACACTACTGGAAGACATAAAGAGTAAGAGGAGAGATGTGTGGCCCTGAAGAACGGACACTGCCCCGGGGACACTAGCAATGAAAGCTGTCCATTTTCAGCAGTTTGCTAATGTACTCTGGAAGCCAGCGCCGTACTTCTCAGTACAGCTCTTACTTCATGTCTGTGTGGGGCTGTGTGACAACAAATTTGATTAGCAACGTGTCTGTGTGAATCCTTAGGAATTCAAAAAAGTTGAATGAGCTGGCTTTCCTGTTTTAAAGTAAGGCATTCTCTCTATCGTATGATGGCTAAGCAAACCAGCATGGAAATACCAAAGACATTAAAGCCAGAAAATTATAGCGATGTCTTACCTTTAAAGATAGGGATCGAGCGAGAAAAAAATGGTCGATATCAATAACAGAGGCTAAAAACCCAGCTAAAAGAACTTCTCCAAAGTCAGCCTTCTTCTTGATTCCAATGACGACTGCCCATGACCACATGCCAATCACACCGTGTACTATGTTATCTGAGAGGGCACGAAGCCAATCATTTTGGTGAATTATGGGAAACCGGAGAAGTCTATCAGCTACTAGGCAAAAGATCCCCAAACCAAGGCTGGAAATGAGAGATTCTGTGCTAAAACACTGTTGTAAAGCATGAGTCTTTTCAACTTTGGACGCCATCATAAACTGTGTCAGTATATAGTAAAAGCCATCGGGAACCAGCAGTTTATTCTTCTTGTCTTCATCCCCAGTATCCTAAAATAGAAACCGGAAAAAAAAAAAAGAATGAAGGTTATAGACTGTGACTTAATACTTAAGCAAACAACACCAGTCACAATTATAAAACCAAATTGGAAAAATTAGCATCCCTTACATGGTACACAATGTGCTGCATGGTCAAAATAGTAAGTCAGTTTTGCAGGAAAAAGTTTATGTGGTTCTAAGGAGAATTTCAGGAAGCCCATTGAATGTTATTTATCCTTGCTAGGCATTTAAATAGCGCTGTCAGAATGTATATGATATGACAGTGGGCATTCACTGTATCTGTAAAACCAACAACTGCTTGTATGCTTTTGAAAAAAAAAGTCTCCTTTCAGACCTGGAGAGATGGGCTCAGTGTAACAGCACTTACTGTTCCACAACTGCCTGTAATTCCTGTTCTGGGGGATCTGATGCCTTCAGCCTCTATGGATACATGCATGAACATGGGGCATATGCATACACTTGGCACGCACATATACAAATAAAATAAATACCTAAATTATTTTTCTTAAACACATGTCTCTTCCCTTTGGGAAAACTGCTTGTCCCTATGGTACCTAAACTCCAGAGCTGTTCAGTTGGAGGTCCTTGCCTCTAATGTAATGATAACGGTCACCCATGCCAGCTTCCTTTTCCTAAGCAAACCTGATGTGGAATGGTCCTCTTGGAGGCCACAGGCTCCAAGACTCAAAACAGCTGAGGACAAGAAAGTCCTAGAGAAACCCTTAACCCCAGCATTCTGCAGGCCGGGACAGATGGATCCCTCTGAGTTCTGGGTCAGCCTGGTTTACACTGAGAGACTTTGTCTTAAACAAAAATATTCCAAAGAGACACAAAGACAAAAAGCTAATAATGAAGCCATCAAATCCTTGGCTTCGGTGCCAAAGGTTTTTAAAGATTCCCTAGTTCCCACAGCTCAGCCTTTACACCCAAGAGCTACTCTAACATCTCCCCAACAAATACCCCCTTTATCTATTGCTCGGATAACAGATAACCTGGGTCCCCTGCAAGAGCTGCAGCCAGTGTTCTGAACCAGTCTCCTGTATGGACAAACGGACTAGTTCTTCATGCTGCCTTCTACTTTTCTGTATGTTTGGCATTTTCACTTAGAAAGGTTTTAAAAAAGAATCTAGTAAAATTCCAGAAACCCTAATTGATATTGAGAAAAAGCAGATCGGTGGTTGATTGGCTGGGGGATGCAGGGTGGGTTAAAAAAGCAAAGAATCCCCCATTCAGCTAGTTGCGATAACTTTGTATATAAGCCAGGCAGGGGTGGTGCATGCCTTTAATCCCAGCACTCGGGAGGCAGAGGCAGGCGGATCTCTGTGAGTTCGAGGCCAGGCTGGACCGACAGCCTCCAAAACAATACAGAGAAACCCTGTCTCGTAAAAACAAAACAAAACAAAACAAAAAAAAGCAGCTTTTTGTGGAAAAGTAATAATCTGAAAAAACGAGAGATTATAGAGACGGAAAAACCCCACAGATCACCCAATCCAGGTCAATAGAAGCGATGCATTGTAGATGGGTGCTGTCAAAGACAAGGCAAGTAAACAGGAGTGCTTCAAGAAATTCCCCAAAGGCTCAGGGGGAAAGAAAAGGACAAAATTTTGGGCAGTGAAAGATAATATAATTCCCTCAAAGAGAAAAATCATTTGTAGCATGAATAGTAAAACCCAGTTCAAGTTGAAGATCAGAGAAGCAAAGCAGCCAGCCAGTAGCTCTTACCTCTACCAAGGCTGAGATGGAGATCCTGTCTTCCCTGTGACTGGAAACTGAATCTCTCAAGAGACTCTTTGCTTCTTCCTTATATACCCCTCTAGTGCTGGGATTAAAGACTAATTCTTTCTCTTGTAACTCTGGGTGGCTTTGAACTCAGAGAGATCCATCTGTCTCCTGAGTCCTGGGATCAAAAGTGTGTGCCAACATTGCCCAGCTTCTATGGCTAACTAGTGTGGCTGGCTTTGAATTCTGATCCCCAGGCAAGCTTTATTAAATCATAAACAATATATCATCACAGTCCTTCAAGTTTCTTTTTTTCTTTTCCTTCCTTCCTCCCTCCTAAGCATTTGCAATGCTGAGTGTAATACTGAATGCCTGTAATCCCAGCTCTTGGGAGGTGGAGGCAAGTGGATCTTTGTGAGTTCAAGGCCAGTCTGATCTACACAGAAAGTTTCAGACTAGCCATGGTAGCGAGATCCTGCCTCAATAATAAAGTTATTTGCAAAAGAATGAGAAATGGCATCTCACCCACTTTTAAGTGTATTACTGTGGAGTAACACAGAGCAGAGAGAAAACAATCACAACTGTAAGATTCCAAACACAGCTAAGTTATGACACCTCAGCAACAATCCTGAATTTTAAGAGCTCTGTCTTAAAGAGACAAATACATATTGGGACAAAAAGAAAGACATTTCAGTTGGGTGTTGGTGGCTCACATCTTTAATTTCAGCACTTGGGAGGCAAAAATAGGTGAATCTCTGTGTTAGAGGCCAGCCTGGTCTACATAGTTTGAGGTTAGCTAGGGCTACATAGTAAGAATCGAAGAGAAGAAGAAGAAGAAGAAGAAGAAGAAGAAGAAGAAGAAGAAGAAGAAGAAGAAGAAGAAGAAGAAGAAGAAGAAGAAGAAGAAAAACATCTATCATATAATCCTTAATATGAAATCACTTCAGACTGGTAGCATGGTTCAGTGAATAAATGTATTTGTTGTACAAGCCTGGAGACCCAAGTTCCATCCCTATTATCCATGTAACTAAGTGGAAAACTATTTTGACATACTACAAATTATATTTATGATATCACACTTTTTTTTTCTTTTTTGGTTTTTACAAGACAGGGTTTCTCTGTATTGTTTTGGAGGCTATCGGTCCAGTCCGGCCTCGAACTCACAGAGATCCGCCTGCTTCTGCCTCCCAAGTGCTGGGATTAAAGGCGTGCGCCACCACCGCCTGGCGATATCACACGTTTTATTAATGGTAATTGGTGTGTATTCCAAAAGTGATGGAACCCAGGACGTTAGGTCAGCAGCACTCTCTTACCAAGCTACACACCAGCTCTCAGCTGACAAGCTAAACATTCACAGGTGTCATTTGGGACGACGTCTCTACCGTAAGAGCCAATCATCTAATTTTGCTGCGACTTCAAGAAGCCACTTTTTATAGTGGTCTAAATTTGTTTCATTTCCTACTTAACATAGCAAATGCCACCAACTATGGGGACTTCCCAGCAGGCAAAACAGTCATCTCCCTTCCCATAATTTCACACATATTAGCTGGTCTTTTAAATTATATGAGGATTTTTTTTTTTGCTACCAATCATACATTTCTGTACAAATAGGACATTCTCAATGTAAACGCCATATCCTACTTCAGTTCCTCCGTCTCCCTAACCTTGGGGGAAAAGCACAAAACCAAGATCTGGGGGCAGGTAGCCCTGCGCTCAGGAGGTTGAATGCATAAAGTTCACTTGAGTTCAGGAATTCATGGAGGACATCGTGAGACCATGTCTCAAAAAACAAATCACCAAACAAAATAATCACAACAAAGAAACAAAAACATGCCCTGCCCCAAACTGCCTTTATTAGGCTTTACAAACATGGAACTAGAGTTGCTGTAAAAGTTAATACATGTAAATTCTTAAATGCTTAAAATACTAAAAGCAGATCTCAAATCTAATGCTGGTAATCAATAATGGAAATGAACATAAATCTTGTTCACTTCACCATGACTCTAAGGCCATCCGATCTGTATTCGCACGTAAAATATTTAGCGCTTGTAACGACTACGAATAAAATACACAATTATGCGTTTCAACATGTTTCTAATCCCAGCCAATTACTGAAGTCATACTTTTCTGAGGTCCGTGTTGTGATCTAGTAAGTTTTAGAATGTCACACGGGGACAGAAGTCTTAGTGCTTGGAGGATTAGCTAAGTTGTGGTTCTACCCAAGCAAGGGTGGCGGTGTGCTCGGACGCCCACCGGCTCCCCGTTCAGGACTGGGGAAAACGCAAGAGCCCAGGAAAGAAACATCCGCGGGATCCGGAAGGCGAGAGGAGGAGGAGGCGTACGTAGGTGAGCCTGCCCTCCCAGCCCGCAGCCCCGACCCCGGCCTGCCTTGGCCTCCCTTCGAATGCTGCGCTCTCCGCCCGCCCGCCCGCCGGGCCCCAGCTCAGCCATACCCAGCTCGCTTCGCAGTCGGCGGGCGAGCCAACAGCGCTCCGCCCCTCGGCCGCACCATAGAGACGCAGGCGCCGGCCGGAGCGGCCAAGTCCTCTGAGTCCCTGCGGACGCCGGGATGCTGGCTCCTCTCGGAGCGGCTCCTGGCGCTCGCAGGTTGATCTGGTTGGTGCCGTGAGTTCTGCACGCCTCCAATACCCCAGAGAGAAATGGAAAACGTGCAGTCGTTTTCTTGGCTTGGCGGGCGACGAGTCACCCACCTCGATGCACCCAAGTGGAGGCGAGCAGCGGGGACTGAAAAGTCACCTCACCTGGTGCAGGATGCACAGTGGGTCTGGATCTCGAAGGCACAGAAGTTTCTAACTTCCTTCATTGAACGCCCCAGGGATGGCGATGCAAGATCTCAGACCTGACACACCGCAGTGCTCCATCGCCCCCTTGGGGATTTCTCAAGTCTTTGCTAGACACCAGTGGTGGCTGAGGCTGCTCCTATGACAGCAGGGGTCATGGCAAGAACAATCATGACTATGACCTGTTGGAAGCAAAAGAGCAGTGCTAACTACACTCAAATCTGTGACCATATATACTCTTAGGGTATTGTTGAGGCGAGTGCTATCTTAGCACAAGGAAACACCTGGCGTGAAACAGCCCAACAATGCTAAGAGGGACATTCTTTACCTCTTACTTCCTCAAAACAAGTACCAGGATGGAAAAGGAGACCAAAAGTATTCATGACAGTTGGCATCTTCAATATCAAGCAAACTCCTGGGTCACGTCACATACCCTGAAAAATCGTCAACCTGAACTTGCATTTGTACTACTTTAGGATTAGGGCAGTATGGTTCATCTATGTGCCATACAGTCTAGGCTTTATGGAAGCCTATTGGCTAAAGACAGTGACTCATACAGCACGTACTGGACACTTTTGTTGTGCTCTGGCTACAGAATAACTTCAGATTAACTACTGGACAGATACTGGTAAATACTGTTAGGAAAATAAACACGGTGATATATTTGAGAGAGGCTAACTTTGGATGAGGTAGTTTCGAGGACTGTAGACAGAAACTTTTGCTGCGACCAGAAAAGTGAAGGAGCACAGAGAGTGGCTATAAAAGGAGGGCATTTGTCCACCCAAGTAAGTGACCTTATCACTCTTGGTCCATTATACTCCTTTCCTTTGTCTCGTTTCCTGCCTTTTAATGTTAAGAGCCTGAGAGATTAGGATTTAGACTCCCTGGGAGGCTGATAGGGAAAGGGGCCATGGCTGAGTAATAACAGTGGCAAATTTCCAAGATGGCCAGCTTCTTCCCACCAGCAATCCCCTGCAGATGGGCTGGCTCAAGTTCAAGGCCAGATGAGGACAAGAACAGCTAGGACCAACCTACTGTCCTGTCTGTTTCCAAAATGACCAACCCTAAGGAGGGGAGAACTCTTCAAAGGCTTCGGAACCCCAACCCTAGAGAGACTAGATTTTCCCTTTGAGTGCCCCTCCGCTTTACAGAGGGTTTTCCCTTCCGAGGTCAGCTGCATGTTTCCTCACCCCAGTGAGTGCTTTCTCCAACTGCAGACTGTCTTCGGTGGAGACAGCTCTGCTGCTCCCAGTTGAGCTTCAGGTTTCTCATCTTTTAACAGAGAAACAAAGCTGAACCAGATCCCTAGATTGCCACAGGATTGCTAGTTTTCCTTTTTCAGATAGTTTGTTTTGCTTTTTTAAAAGATAGTTCTGACAGAGGTGGGAGTGATCCCCAGCTTTAATTGGAGCCAGTTAGGGTAGAGTAGGCTCAAACCCCCAACCCCACCCCCACCCCGGTATTTTTTAAAAAGTTATCTCTTAGTATTTGTTTTTTGAGATAATGTATCATTTCTCCCCTCCCTTTCCTCCCTCAGGCCCTCTCATATACACCTCCTCACTCTTTCAATTTCCTGGACCATTTAGGAGGACTCAACCCTACATAAAGAATTACAGGCAGCTAAGGATGCTGAGAGTTGGAGAAATAAGTCTTCCCTGGGGAAGAGCATATCAACTGGTTACCCATAACCACAGTCAGACCCGAAAACACATGCAAGTAACATTATACAGACTGATATATACGTGTGCACATAACAACAGTTACTGGGTTGCTGCCCTCCAGATAGCTGACTGCCTGCTTCCTCACTGCTGTAAGAGCGAGGGGAAATGGGACCACCAAGCCTAACTGAAAGCTCGTCCTCTTTCAGGGTTGCAAGGCTCTCCCTTAATTGAGCATTGTCTTCTTAGTCCATGTCAATATATCCTAGCCAATCAGAGCCTGTTTGGGGACTACGAAAACTCGCCAGCGCCCGCCCTTTGCTGGTCTTTGCCCACTCTGCAATCTTGTTCCTGTTTTCCTCAACAGGCATGCCCTCAGTCCTCAGTCCTCATGAGGCCTTGGATGGCCGGCAGCCTGCGGCGGCTCAGAGTGTTCACTGTCAAATCTTCACTGTTTCTCTCCTTGGGATAAAGTCTTTGCTCCATTCACCTTTCATTGTCTGTGTACATCATTCTTTAGAGACAAAAAAAGGGATGAGAAAGAAGAACATCTGTTCATTAGTTCCCCAGGAGAGACTAAATACAAATGATCAAGTGTACAATATGGGGTGAATAAATGCTGGATCTCATCTTCCCAGGAAAAGTCACACAATAATAAAATTACAGAAAAATGAAAAGAAAATTGGGAGTTAACATTATTCTACGAAACTAAAATTGGCAAAACGTTTAACTTTTCTTATACATCTGATGTAAAAAATGAAATAGTTCAAAATTTCAAAATAGTTATTTTAAAAATGTACACACACACACACACACACACACATTAACATTTACAAGTTAGGTAAAATACAATCAAAGGTAAATCAGTTCTGTACATTCTACAGAAGTAACATTTGGAATTCCTTGGGTTACTAGCAATTTCATACTAGTATTTGAAACATCCTTAAGATTTAGTGTTGCAATAATTCCGTTTTTCACTTTCTCGAGTTTGACAGGAGATAGTCAATATCCTGAAGGATTTCAGAAGTTCTTTTCAATGCTACCGATACACTCTCTTTATTCGTTGCTTCTAGCAAGGTTTCTGAAGATCCGGACGTCCAGTCATCAGAACACTGTTCGTTTTTCTTGCTAGAAGTCAAATGGAGGACACCACTGTTTTCCAGGAGCCCTGAGTTACTTAGTTAAGGAGCTCCCCCCACATTTTCATTATATAATCTGATTTTCAGAAAACCTGGCTTTGGTATGAAAATATTTCTCAGTTTCAAGGACTATCTACTGAATTGGTGATTGCACTGGGACTTCAGAATTTATGGAATCAGTCCTTACAGATAAGGAAACCAGTCATAATGTATGGAAAGTGGGGAATTACGTGTATTTGGATGCAGGGTTAGTGGCAAAGGAGATGAGGCTTAGTAGGAAAGGAAAGAAAATCTCAGTAACATTTCTTAACTTACTAACATAAAAAGGGAAAGAGTCAGACGATAGGGTTAGGAACAATGAATGTAGTGCATTTCTTAATTAATAAAAATAGAGTAAAAGACTATTTGCCTTCTCTTGCAGAGCTAGTTTATTATTTGAGTAAGGCTGTATAACTATTTGCTCCCAATTGAAACAGTCCCTTCTAGAGAGAGGAGGGAGCCCACAGGACTCAAGAAATAGATCAAATACACAGTGCCCAGGAAGAATATGAATCTTACAAGGCTCAGAAAGCTTCTAAAAGTTATCAAATTCCCAAAGTCCCTTTCCAAGGCTGTTTCTGCAGGAGCAGCTGTTGGGGAGAGGTAACTCTGACTAGGTGAACTACTTATAGGCTGTGCAGTGAACTCCAGGGATGCAGTTTTCATGAACTGTCAGCCATCCTGGCTGTTAGGGGATGGCTGCCTTTGAGTCATTTGGCTTCTGTAAATTCCACCCCACAACCAAACTCCTGTAAGTGATCGCAGTAAACTTATCAGTTCACTATGCTGGACTTGGGCCAAATTGTCTCTTTGGTCTGTTGTTGGTTGCCTATATGGGGTGAATCAATGTTGGATCATATCTCCCCAGAAAAATTCACACAATAGTAAGATTACAGAAAAATGAAAAAACAAATTTAGATAAATGAAAGGGTTCACAATAAAAGTTACAGACATTTTCAACAGCTATGATTTAGATAGTTATAAGAGAAAACGTCTCCAAAAGAGATCTTAATCCTACTTCATAATTCCTTACCCAATTTAAACATAAAAGCATAAACATTAACATAACATCTTATAACAAGAAAATACCTTAGATAGCATCTGACTCAGCAAAACTCAGCAACATGTCATAAAGTCAGGTGCAGTCACTATCAAGCCCAGATTGAAATGGAACATTTCTGTAGGATAACACATTCTCTTAAAAGGATACAGTTAAATTTCTGTATTTTCTCAAGCTCAGAAGCAACAGACCTATGAAAGAGAAAGGGTGACATTGGAACATGAGCTCTTACCACAGATGACAGAGAGGGCCGGGGGCAAGTATGAGGGATAACTATAAAACTCTGGCAGAGCCCCTTAAGTGAATGGCCATCTTGCCTTCCCCACCAAGATAGGATACTATACAAATAGTATAATGACTACCTCTGAGAAATGAGTGAGGACACTGTCTAAAAACAGTGCTTGAGTCAAGTTACTAAGAAGCTGAATCCATAAGCTAGTGAAGGCAGGTGGGAAAAACCCGGAACCACAACCTAGAGAACTAGTTATTGTGCAGGTGCCTCTCCCTCCTCACCACAACCCAGAGAACTAGTTATTGTGCAGGTGCCTCCTCACCACAACCTAGAGAACTAGTTATTGTGCAGGTGCCTCCTCACCACAACCTAGAGAACTAGTTATCGTGCAGGTGCCTCTCCCTCCTCACCACAACCTAGAGAACTAGTTATCGTGCAGGTGCCTCTCCCTCCTCACCACAACCTAGAGAACTAGTTATCGTGCAGGTGCCTCCTCACCACAACCCAGAGAACTAGTTATCATGCAGGTGCCTCTCCCTCCTCACCACAACCCAGAGAACTAGTTATTGTGCAGGTCCCTCCTCACCACAACCCAGAGAACTAGTTACTGTGCAGGTGCCTCTCCCTCCCCACCACAACCTAGAGAACTAGTTATTGTACAGGTGCCTCTCCCTCCTCACCATTTTCATCGGCAGCTGCTAACACCAATTGCACTTTTACTTTCCTTTTTTTGTTTTTGTTTTTTTGCTCACTGTGTTGCTCTTAGCTGGCCTAACACTCATGTAGACCAGGCTGGCCTTAAACTCATCAAGATCTGCCGGGCTCTGCCTCCTGAGTGCTGGGATTAAAGGCGTGTGACACCACTGCCCGGCTTCCAGCTTCATTTCTTAGTATGTCAGTCAGCAGTCACCCTCTTATGTAAACAAGGCATTTAATAAACACAAAAACAGAACCAGCTATCACTTGAGCAGCAGTTAGTGATCAGCTTTATAATCATACGCAATCTCCCTTCTTCCCAGCTGCTTTAAGCAGCTTTCCAGCTCTGAGTTAGAGTTGAAGGAAGAGACATATGCAAAGTTGGATCCTGAGACGTATGGCATACTAAAATCACATCTACTGTTTTCATTTGATTTATTCTAACAAGTTTTCACCCAGGCAAAGAATATAAACCAGGCTCTGTGTGTGTGTGTGTGTGTGTGTGTGTGTGTGTGTGTGTGTGTGTGTGTGCGCGAGCATCATCCTTCTACATTATGATAAGTCACCTTATAAGGCTATGCTATAGTTCAGCAGTAGAATATTTCCCTACTATAAGCCTTTACCTACTGAGCCATCTTGCCAGCTCTTGTGTATTGGTCACTGTACTACTGCTGTAAAGAGATACCAGGACACAGGCAACTCTGATGAAAGAAAGTATTTAACTGCGGGCTTGCTTAAAGCTTCAGAGGCTTAGTCTATTTTCATCACGGCAGGGAACATGGCAGCATGCATGGCAGCGGAGTAGTAGCTGAGTGCTATATCCTGATCCATAGAGAAAGGCTGGGCCTGGTATGGGCTTCTGAAACCTCAAAACCCATCCCCTAGTGACACACTTTCTCCAACAAGGCCACACTTCCTAATCCTTATAATCCTTTCAAATAATGCCATTCCCTGGTGACTAAGCATCCAAATACATGAGCCTATGGGGGCTGTTCTTATTCAAGCCATCAGGCCTTGATACTAATTGTTAAGAATTAATCGGCTCTTATTCACAGATTAATTTTACAAGAAATATAAATACCAATTTTCTTTGTGAACAGGTGACAGATGTTTGGGCACCTGTCTTGAACTAGTCTGGGTCAGTCTTCTGCACCATGACGTTACTGCTGTCACATATCTGAAAAGAACACATTACAAATATTTGATAGGGAAACTCATTAATTTGTATAATTAATTTGTGTAATAACAAAAATGAACTAAAGTTTAAAAAAACACTTTGATTCTAACATACTGTGTAGCTAAGGATAACTTCTAATCCTTATGACAAGTGTTGGATTACACAGTGTACCACCATACCTTGTTTAAGGATTTTTATTAACCCCTTCCCCCATATGTTGGGGATGGAATTCAGGTCCTTGTCTGTGCTGAGGAAATGCTCTACTACCTAGCTATACTCCCAGCCTTAAATTTTATACTTTCCATAAATACATAAGAAATGAAAAAATCAGTAAGACAGTTTGAAAAAAAGGATAAAGAAAAATTTTAAGTGAGGCAGTAAAATTTTCTAAATCATATAAGAGACACAGATGAAGTAACCTTTTTACATTATTCATAAATAATAAAATAATTTTATTTATATTCATAATATTATAAAGAAAACATCTAAATCAAAACAAGAAAGGAATACTTTTTCTTCATTTAAAGCTAAAATTTAAATGTCTAAAACATTTGCCAAAGGTAGTATCTTTTTGAGAGAAATTGTTTAAAACAGCAACTGAAAGTTGGAAGAGCATTTACACCAAAACAAGACCACCCAACAGAAATAAAATTCAAAATGTTAAGTAAGCAGTTCCGTGGGCATGGACAGGTAAAGCTGCTGTACTGTCAAGACACTACATGTAGAGCCACTACAATCAACAGAAAAGTTACGTTCCTAAAAACTAAGTTCAAGCATCCTCCCACTGAAGAATATCCATCAGCTAGTTCTACTGTTTTATTTCACAGAAATACATACAATTTCAGAAACTTACAGTCATTTGCAAACTACCTATCTTTCAATTTCGGTAAGGAATTAGAAAAGCCGCTAATACAACTGGCCATACTCTTCGCAGCCAGTCAGACAAGTTGGAAACATTATTTTGAAAAATCGCTTAGATGCTAACAAATGTTTAAAGCCGACTTGATATGTTTCACTATATTAAATTTCAGTGTAACTGAAAACTCTGCAATCTGGAAACTAAAAACACACATGACGTTTAAGTTATATTTACGCTCTATCAGTTGAAACATGAAAATTGCTCTTCTGTACCTGTTGTATGCTCCAGGACGCTCAGTTTGAATTAACTGATCCTGTCCCTCAGGAAATGTTAATCTGCACCAACCCAAGCTGAGACCTTCATTTACCTGAAGAAGCAAAGAGGCACATTTTATCACTCTAAAATCAAAGCTAAAGCATTAGCAACCTCTTCAACAAAAATAAAGGAGTAGATGAATCATTACAAATTTAGTTTGAAAGATGAATCATTACAAATTTAGTTTGAAAGACTGTACTTGAATAGGTTGTGGGTATGTACAAGTCACCATCAGAGAATACAAAAGCCAATCCCCCTTTTTTCCCCTTTGGTTTTTCAAGACAGGGTTTCTCTGTGTAGCTTTGGAGCCTGTCCTGGAACTCACTCTGTAGACCAGGCTGGCCTCGAACTCACATAGATATGCCTGCCTCTGCCTCCTAAGTGCTGGGATTAAAGGCATGCGCCACCAACGCTTGCTGTAATGTGCTTCTTTATACACATAGAATGACTGTTGTACTTTTCTGATTTTTTCTGGGAAATTCACTGAGATCAATAAAGCCTCTTGACAGGTCTCTGGCACTCAAATGGTGACTTACAATTGCCATGACTCCAATTCTAGGGACTTAGCTGTCCTCTTTTGATCCCAAGAGCTCCTGCATGTACATGGTGCACATAAAATCACACAGGTACACATATATACACATTAAAAAAAAAAGTCACTTGGGATATAGTAGTACTGTTTTCTGTAGATAAGTAACCAATCAGGATATATTTCACACTGTAGATACCAAACTACAGTTAAGGATAATGTATTATGTATTTGAAATAACCTAGAAGACAGGATCTTGAATCACAAAGAAACGATAAATACTTGAGATAGGTAGTGTTTATCCTGATAGTAATAATATATAATACACACAAGTATCTAAGAGCAGAATGGTATCTCATATGTGACAATTCTCAACCTGTGGATCACAACCCCTACAGGGGTCACATATCAGATATCCTTCATATCAATTATTTACATTACAATTCCTAACAGTAGTAAAATCACACTGTTGTTGGGGGTCACCACAACACAAGGAACTGTATTAAAGGGTCACAGTATTAGGAAGACTGACATCACCGGTCTTAGGCATACTCACTTGTCCTTTTTCAGCTAAGGAGCTGAAATCCCAATTCAATGTTAGAGTGACGCCATCTAAAAAGACAGCGTGAACTTTGTCATCAGAGTAGGCAAGAAATCTCCCCACATTGGGTATGAGTGATTCCTTCAGAAGTACGGGCAGAGTATTGTTAACATTTACTTCAGATACCTAAAACCAAGTAAATAAGATAGCACAAGGCAGAGCCTTCTATGAAAAAGATTTAAATAATTACTAATGAACTTTGAAGCAACTCAAGATTCTTATTGAGAAGTTGACTGCTACAGAACTCTTGTCCATATCTTATCTTTTCAAGAGTACACATCCAAAACTGTCTACCTAAAAAGAAGATTAAGTTCTAATATCTCTGTAAGCTACCATCCTGTGAACTTTACATAGGCAAAAACTGAATTATAACAGCAAATAAGTTTACAATCAAATGAGTATGGATTCCCAAGTTAATATCTAAGAATCATTTCCTCTAAGCCAGGATTAATAAATTTACTTTTACATTTATAAAATTAAAATATGATACTATCATAGTTTGTATTGACAGTGCTTTTACATAACTCAAATTCCATCAATTCCCATCTCTCCTCCTCCATTAAAACAAACAAGTGAACAACTGGACACGGCAGCTTATATACATCTGTAATTTTGGTACTTGGTAGGAGGACCCCACGTCTGAAGCTAGCCTGGGATATGTAGTAAGCTCAAGCGCTAGTCAGGTCTACACAGCAAGATTCTGCATCGAAAAGCCAAAGAAAAGTAACAATGGGCTAGTACAGCTTTGTGACAAAGAGTATGTGACTGGCATGCTCTGAGCCGAGGTTTGAATCCCAACATGGTGGGGTGAGGGATCACATACAATAAAGCATCTATGGCACTAAGAGTAAAACATAGGGGCATGGGCGTGCCTAATGATAGAGAATATCTGTACAGTATGTACTGTATGCCTTGAGCTTAAGAAAAGAAAAGACTGGTTTTATATTCTGCGAGGTAGGTATTCTCTCTCTCTCTTTTAAATTTTCTGAGACAGGGTTTGTGCTGCCTGGTTCTATGGCAACCTGACATAAGCTAGAGTAATCAGAGGGAGGATCCTCAGTTGAGAAAATGTCTTCATAAGATCTTCATTTTCTTAATTGGTGATTGATGGGGGAGGCCCAGCCCATTGTAGGTGTTTCCACCCCTGGGCAGGTGGTCCTGGGCTCTATAAGAAAGCAGGCTGAGCAAGCCATGGGAACAAGCCAGTAAGCAGCACTCCTCCATGGCCTCTGCATCAGCTCCTGCCTACGGCTCCTGCCGTGCTTGAGTTCCTGTCCTCTCTGCTTTTGATGATGCCCTGCCATATGGAACTGTGAGGGAAATAAACTTCCTCCTCAAGTTGCTTTTGGTCATGCTGTTTCATCACAGCAATAGAAACCCTCTGTGTAACCCTGGCTGTTCTGAAATTCTCTCTGTAGACCAGGCTAGCCGTGAACTCAGAGATCCACCTTCCTCTGCCTCCCAGACCCCAGTGATAGGGCTAATGGTGTGTACCACCACACCTGGCTCAAGGTAGATACTCTCTTGACTAAACAAATTTGAATGTTACTAAGAACTTCTCACATGATTTAGGTGAAAGCAGTTTGAATGTGTAAGTATGAGTTCAAATAACTAACAGTCTTGCTTTCAGCATACCATTTTCCAGCAGCAGACATGATAGTTGTGGCTTAGTGAAAGCCTTGTCTTGGCACAATGCTGAAGAATTCTGTGAACATGAAAAACATTCGCTAAGTGTTTGCAAATAATCACATTTTCTCTATTTTCAAACATCTGGTTCTGTGATGCAATGTTTTTCCAACATCCTGAATGCCATATAACAGTTTAGATGACTATGGCACCTCACTTTCCCAGCAAGTCTTAAGTTCCTAGATGGGGCTACCATATTTTCCCCCTGCTCTATCTGGGCTAGCTAAGGAACTCCATGGATCAATTTTTAGGTGCTCCTTTAAAACTGTTTAAATCAATAGTTATTTGTGGTGTGTGTCTGCACTCACGTGCCATGGCATAGGGGTAAAGGACAGAGGACAACTTTGTGGATTTGGTTCTCTCCTTCCACTTTATGTGGCTTCAACAGGTCAAGCTCAGGCTACTGGGCTTGCACAGCAGGCGTCTTTCTTGCTGAGCCTTCCTGCTCTCAGATGTTCTAAAGAGGTGACAGAGTCACGTGCCCAAGAGGCTTAGCATAGTCTAAAGGAGGCAAGAAAAGCAGTTAACTATGTGTAGGAAATCAAATAATAACTTTCGAGCCTGCTAATCGGTTTTGGAAATTGTTTACAGATAACTTCATAAAAACAAATTAATTCAACATCGGGTTTCATTTATTTAGGTGCTGTAGATTAATCAAAGAATTTTTAAAATAGTGAAATAAAGAACCAACCCACTCTTTTATTTTTAGTACACTCACATAAAACTTTATTACTGTGAAAATAAAAAGTGGGAAAATTCCAAATGTTCCTTCAAATCCCCAACCTCACTAAAGCAACCATAGGGATGTTACACTTGTTCAGAGAAACGGCACTGTAGTTCCTCTCAGGACCTGCTCACTTCCTGTTTATTCAGACTTAAATTGCAAAGCCAGAAATACTCTTATAATGACATGGATTACTTTTTAAATTACGAGAGCAGAAAACTAGACAGATTTGTAGCAAAGACACATATTTCCATTGTACCCACCGAGTCCTAACCTTAACCAGAAGAAACACATCAAGGTATTCAGATGCATGATTTTTCTGCTCAGTTGAAATTCACGAACTCACCTTGTTGCCTGCTTAATCACAGAACGTACAGAGAAGAGGCTCCCAGGTCTGTCTGGAGGGAGGTTATTTATGGAATAAGTTTTCTCTTCTCTCTGAAAGTTTAAAACAAACAAATCACAAATAATAAATATGGCCCTTATTACTTAAGTATTTTTTCCTTGAAATATATGTGTGTGTCCCTTATCACTTAACTACTTTTTTCTTGATGTATGAATGTATGTATATATATGAGTGTGTGTGTATGTCTGTGTACATGCACACATCAACAAAGCAAGCAATTGCTTTAATACTCTAAAACCCATAAAACCTACATATTTTAGTGCTATTTTCATGATGCCTGTCTGGTGGGGAGAGATGCATGCTACTGTGTCGACTTTTTATGTGGGTCCTGGGGATCTCAATTCAGGTCCTCATGCTTGTGTGGCAAACATTTCACCCACAGAACCATCTACCTAGCCCCCAATATATGCATTTTACTTTGTAAAAATTAATTAAAAGTAGTATGACTCAAAGGTAATGCTCTGAGCTTTAGCATTTTCAATTGACAAATTTTATGACATGAAATTTAGCTTCTGATTTAAACAAACTGTTTAGAGTTAACAGATAACAGTGGGTGTGACTACAGAAAAAATAAAGTGATTGATAGTTCACCAGGTGCCAATGCTGACAGTAAGATTATATTAATTCCATGGTGAGGAGTGGGAAGTAATGTTACATAAAACAGCAAATTCCCCATATATATTGTGACTTTAGAAAGAACTTTTAATCAAAATTTTTCAATTTTCATAATTATCTTACCTTTTCTGATTCTTCTTGACTTGAATAATATGTAAAATAGCTACCAAAATAAGTTCCTTCTGACTTGAAAACCGATCCATCTCCAGGATAAATCTCTATCGAATTTACATTTTTATGGGTAAGCCTAAAGTAGAGAAATAATCATTTTCTTAAAATCAAGACTAATGCATCTATGAAAGCAATCATTAAGACAACAACAAAATCCCAAGCAACAAACAAAAACAGAGAATAGGTAAATCTGATCCAAAGAGAAACAGACCACAGAAAAGTGCCTTATATGTTTATTTCAATAACTAAGCTCAGAGCTTCTAGAATTCAGAGAATCCTGTCTTTACATACCAGTGCCAACCATAGGGACTGATACATAAAGAGTCATCAAAGCAGTCTATGCATAAAGTTGAATACCACACTTCTAGGTTCTAAAAATAAGACGATTCTTCAACAAAAATAATTGGTGCAATTAGTACCTGTGGATAAAATTAACTATCTGTGTAAGACATATTACACAAGTAGCAGCCAGGAATAACCAAAGCATCTGGTATATACTGGATGAAAATTACTTTTATTAGCACAGATATATCTTTTATATGTTGTCAGGGGCCATCGAGATGGCTCAGCAGGAAAAGGCACTGATGCCCTGAGTTCAATCCCTAGGACTCACATGGTGGAAGGAGAGAACTGGCACTGTCCCCTGATCTCTACACACATGCCATAGCACACACACGTGTTGCCACCCCCAGGAAAAAACAAATGCAATTTAAAACTTATGCTGTCAGAAGTGGGTGGGTCCTCACACAGGAAAGGGAAAGTCTTCTGGCAACCAAAAAACATCAGGTATGCTTTTCTAGTATTATTCCTGGATGTATTCCAGTCACTAGACAGTTACTCTGTGGTGGGGAAGAGAGACTTCAGTGGAGTAGTGTAGATGCACAGCAGCCACGAAAGGAAGGACGTCCTGTGACTGAATCCACCTTAGCTGATTCCATGCTCACCAGGGAACACAACTAGACCTTCTAATACCCAGAAGGATATCTGAAGACCCTGCTACAAACATTCATTTACCAGCAAGGCTGACTTTCAATGGCAATGGAGCTGCCATGTAAGTCTTGTAAACATGGCTAATTCAAGTTATAAGACCTCTGTGTGAACTAATAAAATTAGTTTTGTGACCTGTAAAAGTAAAGACAAAATATAGGAGCCCAGGTGACCCAGCAAATCTGTGTCTTTGTAAGAATAGGTTTGCAAGTACAGTCTCATTCCCACTTTGAGTTAAGAAACAAACAAACAAAACTCTCAGTGTAACACAGGAGCCTGACCTGTATGTAACACACTTACACCACACCACAGGAGCCTGACCTGTAAGTAACACCCTTACTCCACACCACCTTCACAAGCTCAGGATAGGAATACTCTTCTTCATCAGACTGTCTTTGTAACAGTGAATCACAGAAGTTCCACCTGGGAAGGATAAAATGTAAGTATTAATTTTGGTTGTTCAAAAAGTCAACAAAACAATGCCTCCATAATGCTTATTTCTTGCCTAACCAACTCTGTGTGTGTGTGTGTGTGTGTGTGTGTGTGTGTGTGTATGCATTAGAGAATTTTAAAAGCAAGTCTTACTTTGCCATATGTCTTCAGTAATTCTCAGTAGTCTCATTAATGGATCTCAGTATGATGTAAATTTAAATTTTTACTAATCTTTAAAATTAACTTTAAGAAAGCACTCCAAGGAAGTAAGGGGTCATGGGCTCTAGTGACCAGCCAGAGGCTCCCCTCTAGGCTTTCCCCAAAGTGCTCTTCTGCACTCTGGGTTAGTGGCCAGCCTGGTCTACAAAGAGAGTTCTAAGGCCAGCCAAGGTGATATAGAGAGACCTTGTCTCAAAAAACCAAAACCAACCAATCAACCCACCAAAATAATATCAGATGATCTAGAACGTTCTGCTCAGGTTAAAGACAGTTCTCCCCAAATCTTTCTGTGCAACAAGCCACTCTTGCTTTACCTGTGCATGTGTGGAGCAGGGCAGCTGAGGAACAGGGCCTTGGGAAGGACAGAAACCTCCTTTCCGCTTTCTTCTGGAGTGTCAGAAGTTACATTTCCACTTGCAGGATAATCTGCATCAGTTTCAGACACAATGCTACCTTGGTTGTAGAAACGAAGTGCTAAAGACAGGGGGTATCTCCACTGTTCTGGGCAGGAGGCAACAGACCAACTCTGTTTCACCCATGTGTACACGCATCCATGTTTTGTACCTGGGGAAGGCAGCTCCTCTCTCCCCTCAGCTCCATGTACACAGCATATGCTTGCTGAAGCTTCTTTAGACTTCAAGATCTGGTAACAAAGTTCGTTTTCTTTATTCTTTAACCTTTGTCCTGATACACTTCCATACGTGCAGATTTTGCTGGTCTTTCCAACTAGTTTATCTTTTGGGACTCGATTATTTGTTTTGGATAGTATTACACATGAATCTGGCTTCTGGCTCACTTTACACAAAAAATGTACTGTAAATTCACGCTGAGATCTGGGCAGGCAAAGGTATGCACGTCCATCTAGTGATGTTATTTTCACAGCGCCACTCTCTGAATATGTGATGCTGTCATTTCTATCAAGACTAGGCCATTTTACTTCTGAGAAATCAATGAAGATATGCTGAATTGAGAAAGAAAAATAAAAACATGGTACTTTCTGTCAATATTCATTCTTTCCATAGTTTTAATATTAAAAGTATTTTGTAAGAAAGAGTTTATATACTTGTGTTTTTACAACCTAGAAAATCAAAACTGGAGTTAATATATGGGTTTACAGACAACACTGATGGTAATAATATTTCTCTTAGAAACACACACACACACTCAAGGGGGGGGCAGGATTAGTGCTAAACTCACATTGAGTTAGGGAGAGCTGGATTTACAGACCACTCACCCCAAAACTCTGATCTGAAAAAGAACAGACATGAAGGAAGATGAAGGAGAACCTGGGTTGTGGTATGCTATACAAAAGCAACTGGAGCTTACATGGTATGGAACTAGTGAAGAAGTCATTGAGAAAACAACACAGATAACACAAAAACAAATTCAGCACTTAAAAATGTCACAGGAGCTAGGAGAAAGGTGAGACTTATTATTTTTTTAAGTGGACAGTATTATTGGGGGAAGGGAGGGACTGAAGAAAGGGAAGGGAGATGGGGGAAGAGAGAGAGAAAGAGGGAGATAGAGATAGAGAGAGAGAGAGAGAGAGAGAGAGAGAGAGAGAGAGAGAGAGAGAGAGAGAGAGAGAGAGAGAGAGACAGGAAAAGTCCTGCCTGCCCCTACAGAGGAACAGTGAGAGAGAAGAGAATTATTAAGTGGTATTGGAATTACCAGACAGCATTAGGGAAATGCAGTATTACCAGATGAACCAAAAAGTAACATGAAGCACCTGTCCTAGAAGGTGCCCGGCACAACACTGGCTAAAATAAATTCCAGGTGGCTTTAAAAATAATTTAAAACAATTCAAACACTCAAAGGGAAACTGACCCTAACAAACTCAAAACAGCTAACAGTCTCTATCTGCTTTTCATCGGGGGGAAAAAAAACGAGCAGTACTGTACATAACAGTATTTTAAAGAGCAACTATTGCATACAGTTCAACATTTCAACCTCCATCTTTATTAATCCTTCATTTTACTAAAACTGTTGTCAAGAAACCTCTTTACAGAGCCACCTGTATTAGAATACTCATCTTAGGGGAAGTGACCGATGGTTAACTTGTGCAAGGAGAGAGTTAGGAAAGCCCACTGCCCTGTGACCAAACTGCAGCATCGGAGCAAATGACACCATTATAATAACGCAGTTACTCAAAAGACACTGGAAAAAAAGCCCCGTGGAGTATGCTTGCGCCACTTTATAGCTTCTCTGTCTGCTAAGGTGAGGATATGAGGTGCCCTTCACAAAGGTGCAGGTGTTAAGCGTGTGGTCTCCAGCTGGGGGCACTGCTGAGTGGTGACTGGATGGTGAAGACACTAACTTCCTCAGAGGATTAATCTACTCATGAGTTCACAGATGAATGGGCAATGCTGGGACTGGCTGGAGGAAGGAGATCTCTCACTCCCTCTGCTTCCTGGTTGCTAGGATTTGTTTCCACCTACATTTCCCGCTATAGTGTTCTGCTTCGACGGAAGCCAATAGGGATAGGGCCACAGGACCGTGCACTAAGACCTCTGCAATAGTAAACACTTCCCTCCTTTCGGTTGTTCACCTCAGGTATTTTTGCTGTAGTAATGTACACAGATATAAGACTACCAGCACAGACGCAGCACAGTATGAACGTACTCAGTAAGCAGGCAAGAGGGCCCTGGAAAAGCAGCAGAAAGCAATTAACCGGCCCAGCTGAGCTGAGGGTGTGGCTTACTGGTGAAGTGCCTGCCTACCACGTGTGAAATTCCAGTAATCCCAAGGGTCATTTAGACTAGGCTCAAGTCCGAACTTTCCCACTCTGAAAATTTTCACAGATAAATCAGGTAAGCTCTTTGAAACATAGTTTTCTGTCTATACAAGAGCAGGAAATATTAGCAGATACCCACACCACACTGGTACTACTGAAGTTCTGGTTTGTTGGAGACAGGATCTAACTACATTGTCCACGTTGGTCTCACATTTAGGAAGTAAAGTGATCCTCTTGCCTCAGCCTTTAAATATTTTTAAGACTGGCTTCTAGCTGAAATAAATCCTTTTCTCCCCAAGTTGCTTTTGGTCACTGTTTTATCAGAGAATGGGAAAAGCAAACCAGGCTCCTATCCTATCACACATTGACAAGTACACATAGTTTACTAAATTTATTTATGAAATTTCTTACTACTGAGACATGTGAGAATAAAAAGGTCATGATTTGAAATGCTATAGCCCTTGACTATAAAGAAAATGTTAAGGAGTTGAAATATGTGACTCCTATGTTCCTTAGTCTGGTGAAACACAAAGACCTGTGCATTCTATAGCACGCGCCTAATTCCAAGGGCGAAACCAGCTGTTTACAATTAACTGTACTCAGCTATAACCTAGAAAAACGTGGCTTTAACACATCACCTTTTTTCTTTCAGGAGGTATGAGGCTTTCCGACAAAAAAGGGCATGTAGCTGAAGAGTTTCGAAAATCAAGGGCTCGCCGTAGTTGCTCCTAGAAAAAGAAATGTAAAGTTATCCGAGAATCAGCTTAGAATGAGAAGAGTCCAGAATCCTAGTTTATACCCTTCATAGCAGCTTCGGCAACTTCTCTGTATTAGAAAGAGTATGCTGTGACATTACTTACTCGGCAGGTGCTGATGACAAAGTGTGTCCGTTGGCGAATCCTCTCTGGCTGTGCTAGGGGGTGTGTTGAAGGAGGAGGTGCCCTTTCAAACAGGAATTCAGAGCCGCAGGGCGAGAGCTGCAGTGTGGAGCCATCGGCATACTGCACCTGCACCGAGTCATCGTCATAAAGAACCATGCGCACTTCAGCTGCCATGGCTGCGTCTGGGCGTGCCACACTTCAGCACAGACTAAAGGAAACGGGACACAGAAGCATAGCTAGCTTTCTCAACGCTCAAGACTTCCACCAAGTTGGACACATGCATTGCCTAAGGCCAACGCACGCCATTGCGCACACTCTTGAAGGAAGAGCAGCGGTCTCACCTCGGTGATCTAAAAAGAACTTCCTTAACAAAATGCCTTGAGTAACACCCAGGTCTAACTCCGCTGTTAAAACATAGCCTGGAAGGAGAAGACAGTTCACAAAGTCACAAATGTCCTTCTAAGTTTTGTGGTTTTACTGTTCCTCAAGTCTAATTTTTGTATATTGTATGCTCAGGATCTCATTTCAGATAAACCAGTTATATCTGGTAAGAAAAACATAGCAATTTGGGCAGGTATGATGGTTCAGTGTGTGAAGGTACTTGCTATGCAGGCAGGCCGGCATGATGGACTGAGTTGTGTCCCTGGAATTCACCGTGGAAAGCTAGAATAAAGTTAGAGCGCGCATGCGCATGCCTGCACTTACGCATCATAATAAAAATTAAATAATGCAGAAAATCAGTTTTAACACCTGCGAAAGACTGGCCGAAAGCAACAATTGACTCTAAGGAAAAAGACCATTGAAGAAATACAAATGCAACAATTTACTGGTCTCCAGTCTGGCATAAAGAAGCAGTTAATTTAGTGTCTTCAATCCATCCTCACATCTTGAATTACTTTTTATTAAAATTATTTGCCTTTATTTTCTCCCACTAGAATAGAAAAACAGAACGGACCTCACCTGTCTTATTCACAAATGTATCACTGGGACCTAAAAGTATTAGGCAAAGAATGTTAGGCAAATATACTTTCATCAAATAATGAGAAAGTGAACATTTACATTTTTCTTACATTTGAGTATGCAATATGAGTTAATGATACATCTTATTTCTCAATGCTTTCTTCCTGTAACTAGCTTGCTCCTGATTTTTCAAAATCTTGCTTGAATTTGATCCTTTACCTCCTTTTGTTGGAAGCTCACCTCTCAATTCTTATAACTAAGCTCATTCTCCTGTTTCTTCTCTCTCCAATGTATCTCTATATTCCTGTCAGTTAAATTCCCACAAATTAGACCAAACTAACTGCTGTATATCACCTGTTTACAAACTTGTTAAATGTCAATAAACAAATACTATGTCAATATGTGCACACACACACACACACACCTGTACATACTTTACCTGGTATTTTAAGAGAAAATAGGTGTTGACACATTATTGAAAGAGTTTGTATTTTCTGATACCAGACTGTGAAATGGGATCACCGCCTTTGCATCTCCCATATAACAACTTCACTTGTTATTATTTAAATAATCAAGCATACACAGGAGAGTGTAGTGTTTAAAATTCTTGGTGCTACCACAGGACACCAGAATCTGGTACCAATCCATCTTTGTGACCTCCTCTGCATTGTTTTACTCCTGTTTGCATTCTCACTATTCATCACATCATGTCTGGTATAACGAACTGGAAAACCTCGTCTGTTCTGCATATTAAAACCTCGCTTTTCAAAATACAGTGTCTGGTTACCCGGGGAAGAGACGGGCGGGTACACGCCCTCATGCAGACTACGGCCAATTCTGACACTCACAGGGTAGTTCTAGGCTGTGAAGCTGTTTTCCACATCGAGAGAAGAGCAATCAAGGCCTCTGGCCGACCTCTATTTTGTCCAAATGGCAGACCATACCGTCCGTGACTGCTTCTCCAGGGTTACTTCAGGAATCAGTAACTACCGAGTGTTATTTCTCGATGAAAGAAAATAATCTCATCTGCGGAAGAACATGGACACAAGAAGTGTTTCGACTGAGGCGCCCGCTCAAGTCCTGGCAGCTGGGGAAGCAGCGGCGAGCCGGAGGAGCAAAAGGAAACAAAACAAAACAGGGAGGTAGCAGTTTGAACCTCCCGCATCAAGAAAGGGCGGCCTCCGGAAAAAAGCCAGACAGGAAGTCCCGCCCCTCTCACTGCAAAGGGCCGGACCGGAAGAGAATAGGCTTTTCCGGGTCGGACCCTGCTCTCCACCTATTGGGTGTTCAGTCCTCCTGCGGAAGCGTGGAAGCACGGTTGAAATTGGTTTGTGGACCACACTTCTCGCCTACCAGGCAAACACTAACGCAAGGATGGGGCTTAGCGGAGTGACTAAATTCTTAAAAGTAATCGTGGATACTGCTTGTTTTAAGAAGTGCCAGAAAACGTTTATTGCCTTTAGACGTGTACAGACAGCCGACTACGTCAGCAATGTATGAGGCGGACTAGCCCAATTCATTGGGAGTCAGGATGGGGATTGAAGAATAACTGGGAAGACAAAATAATCATTTGATTAGTTGTGGGTGTTCCTAATCTTAAAAAAGATACAGCGATCTATGAGAGCATATAGTAGACTGAGAAAACATTTCCATTGAAATCTGACGGTTTTTGGTTTTGGTTTTTTGAGACAGGATTTCTCCGTGCAGCCCGGGCTATCCTGGAACTCGCTCTGTAGATCAGGATAGCCTCGATCTCTGATTGCCTCGGCCTCCCGAGTGCTGGGATTAAACGCGTGTTCCACCACCGCCTGGCTTCCGCCATCCCCTCTCCCAAGCCCAACAATTAACCACTTCTTTATTGCCAACAGAAATAGTCGTCCAGATTATAGACAGTGTCCACAACAATCCAGACACCTCTTGCTAGTAAAGCAGACCTCCCCAGTATGACCACGAGTTCAGAGCAAAGTAGGCAAAACATCCACAGGAACACAATCCATATGACCTTAGCATGAAATCTGGAGTTTTAATAGGTGCTTGCTAAGTACAAGCAAAGGTCACGGTTCTGTGTTAAGACTCCGAGCAGTCCAAGGGAAGGATGATTTCCCTTAAAGGGGCTGAAGCGTGTAGGGAGGAAAGAAGCCCAAAGCACTGTGACCAGGTCACTATGGATGGAGCCAGATTTAAGGGAATTTCTGATTCTAAATTATTAATATCTAGGCAACTATTTTTTGTTTTTCGAGACAGGGTTTCTCTGTATTGTTTTGGGAGGCTGTCCTGGAACTGGCTCTGTAGACTAGGCTGGGCTCAAACTCACACAGATCCGCCTGCCTCTGCCTCCCAAGTGCTGGGATTAAAGACATGCGCTTAGGCAACTATTTTTTAAAAGTTTTATTAGGTATATTTGTTTAGTGCAAGAGGTTTAAGCAAAGATAACGGCATCAAGGGATTGGGAAAAAAATACTGATATGCAAATTGTTCTCAATCTTACTTAATTTTTTTTTTTTTTTTTGAGACAGGATTTCTCTGTGTAGCTTTAGTCTATCCTGGAACCCGCTATATAGAACAGGCTGGTCTCAAACTCACAGGGATCCACCTGCTTCTGCCTCCCAAATGCTGGGATTAAAGGCGTGCCTCACCGCTGTCTGGCCAGGTTTATTTCTTAATCTCTGACAGTATGTTTTATACATTGAACAGTTGTTTCCCACCCTGCCCTTGCCCCCGCCAATGTTTGAGACCTGAATAGAATTTCCACTACAGATTTCATGAATTTTTGCAAGATTCCTGGAATTGCTGATGGAGAATGGATTGTGGGCAACAAGGACAGAAAGAAGAGCGCAGCAGGCAGCTTTTGAACAAAGGAGAGAAAATACCGCTAGAATGTAGGTCCTCAACACTAAGGAGACAGCAGCTCCAGCAACGATTTACAGTCTCGGGAATTACTAGACCTGGAACTTAAGAGAAAAAAGTAAGGCTCTAAGATTGTCCAAGTTTCTGGTTTGGGCAAATGGGATGGTGGCAGAAATTATAAAGAATTTATGAAAATTTTAAGCTGGACTTAAATTTTCTAAGTTCACTTGGTGAAAACTGTAAATAAGATTTGGCTGGAATTAGGAAATACACACCTGGAGATCAATGGCTGTTGCATGCTAATTGAATATTTAAAGGAATGAAAGGGGTGGGAAGATGGCTCAGTGGTTAAGAACACTGGCTGCTCTTCTAGAGAACCTGAGTTCAATTCCCAGCAACCACATAGTGGCTCACAACCTTCTGTAACTCCTCCAGGGTATCAGACACTATTCTGTTCTCCTGGATACCAGGCACACACTGGTCCAGAAATACACCCATACATACAAAATATTTTTTTAAAACTTAAATCAGGTAATGTTAAGAGAATTGCAGAAGAGCACAAATAGTGTCTTTGATGCCTAGATGTTTCAAATTTTGTTGACAAAGATCTAGTACGTTTAGTGAGGCAGGGGCCAGGGTCATTGGTGATTTCAGTGAGAATCATTGCATATAGTAGGAAAGAAAACAATGGAAAGAAGAACAAATAGGGAGACAAGGAGAGGGATAAATATGGGTCACTTGAGAAGACTGACTATAGGACTTTGGTACTCTGGTGCAAGAAAAATAGAAAGAGCCAGATTTTATTTTTTTATTTGATAAGAATAGCATGGGGGTGCAGATTAAAAGAAGTCCCATCAACCATTAAATAACAGAACTCACAAAAGACACAGGAACTGTCTAGTAAGGATGCTTCCTGTAGGGGAAGATAAAATGGATACAGATATATTTGTGTACATTTTACTTTTAGTGTTTTTCCTGTAAAGCAACTAATTAGGTAATGAAAGGTTAGAAGAGGAATGAAGCAATTAAAAACGGACCAAGGGGACAAAATCACTAGCAGTACAGAAAGGCTAAGCGACAGTGGTGATTCTGAATTTACAAGGGCACACATCTTCCAGAACCATGGCTTCTGAATGCCATGTTGCGCTTACAGAATCATTTTTGCTACACCAACATAATAGGGCAGCAGCACACATGAGCTTAAGTTATTCCTGTCTGCCAAAGTAGTCAAAGACCACCAAGACTCAAAGCTGGTTTGTTGGTAAAATTGGAAGGGTATCCGTCACAAGGAATAGAGTGCCACCTTCACTAAATTTGAGTTCTTGATGAAAGATTCTGAGGAAGTCCTGAGGGAAGGGAGACCAGTTTGGGGGAAGAGGCTATTTCTGCAGCAATATAAGAAGCAAATTTGCCGGGCGTTGGTGGTGCATGCATTTAATCTCAGCACTTTGGAAGCAGAGACAGGTAGACTTCTGTTGAGTTTGAGGCCAACCTGGTATACAGAGCGAGTTCCAGGACAGGTTCCAAAGCTACAGAGAAACCCTGTCTCGAAAAACCAAAACCAACCAACCAACTAAACCAAACAAAACAAACAAAAAACAGAATTTGAGTGCTGCCACGAAACAAGAGCAGTTTAGGAACTGGGTCTCTCTAGTAGTAGATAAGCAGAAGCATTTCCTGGGCAGACTGCTGGAAGCAAAGCAATGGTCCTGCTGACAAGGTGAGTGCCACTCTAACTGGATGAAAACGTGTTAACTTGACAGCTGCTGTGTGTGTTCACCCCAAGAACCTGATAGGAAAGGGGATTTTTTCCCTTTTTGTTTGATCTGACTTTCAGTCATAACAGGTTTTCCAAAATCCTACCAAACACCCTTCTCTTATTAAATATAACCAAACTTTTTTTAATAAAAAAAAAAACTGCACTCACCTGTCCCCTGTGCGGGTTAAGATTTAGTAGGTTACCTACAGAATTACCCGTTAAGACTGACTTTAAACTCTAGCAGCCTCTTGGAGATAAGCTCTATGGTTCCCCAAGTACATGTCCTCCATCACTGTGACAAGCCCAGACCACTGAGATATAGCATGTTCTTGCCTCCTAGCTAAGCCTGGGCCAGAGTTGATAACCTGACTGCCTGATTAAGACCAATATTTGTCTTCACAACTCGAGACTGACATTAAATGACACCAGAGCCTATGCTCACTGGAAAGCACTGTGTTCCTGTTTCTACAAGGCACTGATATTTGTTCCTAGTGAAGACATGCATTCTACAAGACAATGTGACACAGGACCAACTCATTACAGATTTAGAACCAAGACAATAAATACAGCCACACGGCTTCTTCCTGCTTTGGTATGCCCAGGCTCAGAATCCAGCCAAAATGCTGTGAGAAATCCAAGAGAAATGAAGTCATCTGCAAAATATCAATGTTCTGGTCAACAACTCAGGTCTCGATCTAGCTTTAGTCTTCATGGCCACAAGATGGCTCCAAGCATTATAGTCCCCAGCTGCTCAAGCTATCACTGTTCCACTGTTTTCACTACTAAGGTGTTTTTACTTCTAGTGCTAGGGATCGAACTTAATTATGGCCTTCTGCATGCTAAGCAGATGAGCTAGTACCACTAGACTCTGCCTGGGTAGTTTTTTATGTAGAATCTACAATGCAACTAGATTCTGTTGATAGTTACCCTGAGTACAGTAGCAAGTGACAATGAGGTGAGGGGTCAAATACTGGATGTTTACACAACAACCACTAGATGTCTAAAATATATGCAGCCCAGTTGTCTCTTGGTATCTGTTTCTTTTAGATTTATTCATTATACATACAGTGTTCTGCCTGCATGTATGTCTGTAGGCCAGAAGAGGGCACCTGTTCTCCTTACAGATAGTTGTGAGCCACCTCATATGGTTGCTGGGAATTGAACTCAGGATCTCTGGAAAAGCAGTCAGTGCTCTTAACCTGAGCCATCTCTCCAGATCCTCTCGGTATCTATTCTAATGTGCTGTTAACTATTAGGTTCTAAGACCACAGGCTGTGCTGGTATGACAAATTCCAAAACATCCAGCTACATATGTACTTTTTCTTTATAATGTGGACTCTAGAAATTAATTTGTTAATTTCCCAGGTTCATTTATTTGTTATTGAATTCACTTATTCAATTAGTATTGAGTATCTGTAATTGTTTTTCGAAACAGGGTTTTCTTCTGTGTAGCTTTGTAAACCAGGCTGGTCTCAAACTCAGAGATCCACCTGTTTGTCTCCCCAATGGTGGGATTAAAGGCGTGCACCACCACAATCTGGCTGAATATCTACAGTCTTACAGCAATTTCTCTAAATCTTAA